AAAATGTCAAATATTTACATGTCAGAGCAGGAAGACCACATCTGGCTCAATTAAAGTGACAAGGAGTTCACTGATCATGTCATGTCCCATTTTTATACTAATGCTACTCCTATGATAAAGGTTTGCTTGAGAAATGCAAAATCACTCATATTACCTGGTTATGCTCTAATGGATAAAGTCAAACTGCCCTCTCTCTAATGCTCAGCCCCTCTCCTTTTTCCTCTGCCTCCCCCACAAATGCTAAATTATTTTAAAATTCTAAGTAATGCTCTTCACAAACTTATTTAAGCTAATAAATTTAAAATGACATCTTGATGTAACCTCTGTTAAACACTAAAACAGATTTATATAGTATTTAATTATTATTTATATTTCAACTCTAGCATTTAAGAAATCATATCCCCAGAGGGTCCAAAAACAATAATGAAATTTGGCAATATTTAATATCCTGATTAAAAAGACACATTGAAAGTAACAATTATGGGAAATCTATATTAAGAAATTTCCATGACTAGCCAATCTTTCGGATGAGCCATCTTAAAACTGTGGCTAATCAATGTTTTGAAAAGGTTACCTCTTAAATAGAAAGTACATTTTAAGAGAGAACCTCTTTAAGAGACCAAAAGAAAGTATTGGGCCATACTGAGTGGGGGCCATCTGTGCGTTAGTTTCTAAATTGATGTCTCTGGTGACCTTCAAAACTCACCTAACATCTCTGGACTAGAGGTTTGCTAGTACAAGAATAGATTCTATGTTCCTGTGTTAACACAAAAATAGGATGGATACAAAAATAGACGCTAGTATGTTGATTTCACTTTTCTTCTTTCCCTTCTTGATATTAATTATTTAGGGCTTATTAAGTAGCCACTCTTTTAAGTGCAATTACACATAGTAAAATTTGTTAGTCAAATACACAACTATATAAGGTGAGAATTAATATGATATCTATTTCCTTGATGAGAAAACTGAGTTAGAGCTGTTCGCTAACTTACCAAAGGTCACACAGCTTCTGAGTGGTAGAGGTGAAGTCAACGGTTTACCCAGTGTTATAAAGCTGTACCAGATAACGTTCAGAAATCTTTTGCATTTCCTGTATGGCTATACACAAGTATGTTTCATTAAGCAACTAAATTCATTTATTAACACTGTGCTGCATGCACTTCAGTGGGATTTGAAACAGCCTTCAAGGCATGTTTGTGAAGGGCAGTATTGGGATGCCCACATCCCATACTGAAGGGCCTTGGTTCAAGTCCTGGCTCCACCCCCAATCCCAGCACTCTGGGCTGCAGGCGGCAGCACAGGTAGCTGGGTTTCTGCCACCCACATCAAGAACCAGCACTGAGTTCTGGGCTCACTGCTTCAGCCTGGCCCAGCCCTGGATGCTATAGATATTTATGGAGTGAGCCGGGAATCTCCACTCCTTCCAACAAATAAATAGACTTTATGAAAGAAAAAAAGGTATATGTTACATATAATATTAAAACATTCATGTATATAACCATGGCCAATTTGTACATGGAATTAAGATGACATGGAGAATGGACCCGAGGAACTAGAGGGAGGATTCAGGTTGGAACCATCACATTGTCACTGTTTAAATCCAACAACCTATCAACTCATAGTCAAGAGCCCTGTCCTGCCCTGTCAAGCACCACACATCGTTTCAGCTGTCAGGTGCCCAGAACTATTTACAGGGCACTAACCTGAGAAGAAAAATGAGTGACATCCCATATGCCCAGGGAAGAGAAAGAGACTGGCTGTGGTGAACAGTGACTTCTATGACTCTTTCATTGCTCATATAAGAAAAACAACACCCAACTCTTAGTTCAGTGGATGAATTTAATTTACATAGCATTTAAAGCATGTTATTATACCTGGGCCATGTGCACAAACACTAGCCTCATTTATGTTGAAACCTGCCAATTCAAAAACCAACCAGCTAAGATACTTGGATTTAGAATTATTTTTCATTTAGTAAAGTGATTTTGCTATGTCATGCTCCCACAACTAACAAAAATAATTATCTATCTTGTATTTATTACGTTCCAGACACCTCATGTTAATCCATTCTATGCTTATGCTGACCCTGTGACAGAACCACACTTTTTGATATTCACTTAGTATAGGGTAAAACAGATCATCTGTTTGGGTGAATGCAAATGAAGCTATGAAAAGAGACGAAAGTTATGACAAAGTTATGAAAACTTTAGTAAGATAGCAGCTGCTAACCTATTTTTCAGGCTTGAAAGCCAAAAGCTAACATTTAGTGGACACTTACTATATGATGCACACAGTACTCATGCTTTAAATCTGCGATGCAGGGAGCCATCACACAACTCTAGGATAAGTACATTAAGCCACAGTTAGATGAGAAAGGTTAAGGTATACACACTTAAAACACAGGTATGTGTGCATTTCAGGATCATCATTAACAACATTAACATTAAATTCCCAGATATATTAAGAAAGAGCTGGATTTGGGAGTGATGAGTCAATGGTTGACACAATACTGTAGACCCATTCACAATGCTCTAGAACCACTCTTTTTTTTTTTTTTTTTGGTTTCTCATTCTTGACAGGCAGAGTGGACAGTGAGAGAGAGACAGAGAGAAAGGTCTTCCTTTGCTGTTGGTTCACCCTTCAATGGCCGCCGCGGCCGGCGCACTGTGCTGATCCGATGGCAGGAGCCAGGTGCTTCTCCTGGTCTCCTATGGGGTGCAGGGCCCAAGCACCTGGGCCATCCTCCACTGCACTCCCTGGCCACAGCAGAGAGCTGGCCTGGAAGAGGGGCAACCGGGACAGAATCCGGCGCCCCGACCGGGACTAGAACCCGGTGTGCCGGCGCTGCAAGGCAGAGGATTAGCCTAGTGAGCCGTGCCGCCAGCCTAGAACCACTCTTAACAAACCATCAGTGAGCCAGAGATCCATGATGATGAGTTACATGTCTTTAGCTTCCTAGAAAATGAAAATGCTGTAAAAGTATACATAGAGGATAAAGTGCTCTGAGCAGTTCTGTTGATTAAGACAGCCTTACTGTATTGGTAGGAATACTTAATTTGCCTCTGACCCCATATCATTTTGATTACTATTGACATGCTGTATGTATTTTAAACAGCTGGTTCCCCCAAAATACATTATGCAACATTTAAAAACTGCCATGCTGGATATTCAAAACAGGGCCACATTCACAAACCTATAAACCAGATTTGTGATAGGGACATTTAATGTTGTGTTTGTATGTTTCTACTTTTTTCCTCCAATGTTTAATTGGCTGTATCATGTCATTTTTGGCTCACATATGTGCTTCCCAAATAACAATAGAGAAATGAAGCTAAAATTTATAATTGTTAGTTTGATTTCATGTTTGCCAACCAGAATTCCACTTAAGGTAGAACAAAATGTTAGGGTGGCTGAATTCTTTTTAATAAAAATGCTCTTTCAAGATTTTGGGTTTGTATTAAGGACTCTCATTGGAGATCAACACAGCTGTTCTTCATGTAAATCAAATCTAGGAAATACTTGTTTGATATATTCCACTGCAAAGTAGAGCTACATTGTGCTACGGGCTAGAAATAAATCTATTGCTTGTCTTCCCCACAGGAATATTAGCTTCATGAGCATTTTGTTCACTGATGAAATCTCTAGTGCCAAGAATAATGACAGGCTTACTGTAGATACACAATATTCATATTTTTGAAAACAATGTTGAAGTTGCATTAATTAAATGATGATTAAAGACCTACCACATATATCCTATACACAAACCATTTAAATGAAGTTTAATAATGCAAATAATTTCAATTTTATATTTGATGTTCAAATATTTGCTCTCCTGAGGCTTTGAAAGGTGAAACTTAAAAAAAGGATTGAATTTCAAGACTGCTATATTTGTTACTTTAGTTTCATTTGCTAAACCATATACCATTGTTTTATGTTTTCCTAAACAATTCACACTTTGTGATTTCTATAAAATTGTTAAATAAATAAGGCTATCCAACCACTGTCCAAAATACCGTTGTTAAAGAAATGTGGTTGGGGGGCCAGTGCCATGGCTCACTTGGTTACTCCTTTGCCTGCAGCGCAGGCATCCCATATGGGCACCAGATTCTGTCCTGGTTGCTCCTCTTCCAGTCCAGCTCTCTGCTGTGGCCCAGGAGTGCAGTGGAGGATGGCCCAAGTGCTTGGGCCCTGCACCCACATGGGAGGCCAGGAGGAAGCACCTGGCTCCTGGCTTTGGATGGGCACAGCACGCCAGTCATAGCAGCCATTTGGGGGGTGAACCAATGGAAGGAAGACCTTTCTCTCTGTCTCTCTCTCTCACTGTCTAACTCTATCTGTCAAATAAAAAAAAAAAAAAAAGAAAAGAAATGTGGCTAAATATGTCAAGTACAATCCAACAAAAATGATTTACAAATAGCACCCCCTAACCTAAGAAAATCACTTAATTTGTAATACTATCAAATAATATAAGTTAAAACAAAGCTAATAAAACAAAGCATATCTTGTAAAACAACATTCAAGATGTCAAGAACTCTGGTTTTGAAATTCAGAAATATTTTTCCGCTGCTTCTTGATACATTCATTTTAATAATCAAGGAATATACATAAATACTTGGTGCAGTAGCTAAGACACCTCCCAGGTGCAATATATAAGTGTCTTTCAGAATGCCAAATTCCTGTCCAGCTCTGCTTCTTCTATAGCTTCTTGCTAATGTGTACCCAGGGAGGCAGAAGGTGATGGCTCAAGTACGCGGTTTCTTGGCCACTCATGTGGAAGACCTGGATTGAGTTCTCTGGTCTCCTGACTTTGGCTTATCCCAGCCCAAGCTGTTGTGGCCATTTAGCTAGTAAACCCAGCAGCAGATTAGGAATCCTTTGTACTGCTATCTATACCCCAGAAAGGCCATAAAGGAACAGTTTGGTTTGGTTACAAGAGTCTTTATTTTGTAAACTATACATAAACAGTAAAAAAGAAAATGCATTATACTTTAAATATTACATAAGGTCAACATTAAAGTTTTTATTCTGTGTAGAAATTAAATGGAAAGAATCCACCAATTTTACTTTCAATGAATCATGAACTGGGAAACCAGCTGACCCATTGTTGAAATTAATGCTATCAATGTGTAACATTCAACAGGTTGTTCCATTTTTATTATGGGCACGAAACCATTGGTCTGATATACTTAAAAGTGATGGTGTGCCAAAATGTCTACACAATTAATTAACATGCTAACTTAAATACAGCAACTAAAGTAACTTTTGCTACAGTTAAATCTTAAGTGTTACTCTACACAAGAATCATAAACAAGTCCACATGGCAATTATGTAACAATAGAAACAAAGGAAAGAGACATATTCCATTTTCTTCATTCCAGCAGCAGTACCTGTATCGGTATTCACTTGTTAATTAGGTGTGCTTAAATATTGCCTAATAGCCTATATTGGTATGCATGCTAAAATCTTTCTATTTCTATTTTTGCAAGGCACCATACAATATGTTCTCTACATTTCAGCACTACTAACAAAATTATAGCATAATTCTGAGATTAAATGCAAATTTGTTTGTAAGGCAGAAAATAAAAGAGAATTAAGATTTTTAAATTTGACCTTAGGGCAAATGACAAACTTTATTTGTGAAAATATGCTTTAAATGAATCTTTCCATTTGTTTTCCTAATTCTGCACCCTACCTTGCTGGTCAGAAATCTAGAAAGGTAAAGAAATCATGCTGTTTAAGCATATTCACAGAACAAAAACAAAACTACATGACATTGCCATCCAAATTAAAATAAAAAGTACAAAAGATAACTTTTTAACTTTCAGATTCCATGGTTTTCCATATTTGCCATTTTGTCTAAACACCCCATCATAACCAAAACAGCCTCATAATTAAGTCTCACAAAGCAAAGGCAATGGAAGGTCCTGCAATCCTCATCTTGTTTTTCTCACCCTGTGCTACCTCCTTCACTTTCCCTGTCTCATTCCATGGTTTGCAAGATGCTACTTTAGAATTGCAATTAAGGATTTTCATTAAATCTCTGGGGGCCCAGGTCACTAACGAGTCATCAGCTTAGAATATATCTCAGAGAAATAACATCTATGATCCCAAGCACGCATTGTCTGTTATTGTTAAGAGAGATTTACAAGGTTTGCTCCGATGAAAAATGTATTGTAATAGCTCTTCATGACTTATTTTGTCTGGGTGGACTCCTTAAGCTCTTCTTTTTTCCTAAGGCATATAAAAACTCAAAGGAAATGATTCTTATTTAAACATAAAGTTCTATGACTTTAGCTGCAATATTTGAGACAATTATACAAAATATATGTGAGGTTTGGAATCATTTTATTTTGGGACAAGAGGGTAAGTCTCAATAGGCTATCGTTTTGTAAATGTTAGAAATGTAGAATTTTTAATCTCGACTGTTATCAATCAGATGTATCCATCACGGTCATCACCATCCTCATCATCATCCCCTTCATCTTCGTCATCATCTTCAATTTCATCCTTGTCATTCATGATGTCATCTTCATCATCCTCATCGTCAGTCCACTCATGGAAATCGCCACTCGCAAAATCTCCGGAGATCTCAAAATCCATAGCTTTAAAACAGTAAACATTACTTTTATTCGCCTGAGCTACGGGATAACTTCTGAGAAATGCAAAATTCTGATGAAAATGGAAGAAATTAGTGCAATTCTAATTTGTGCTGCAGTTTAATTAATGGAGATAAGGAAAGACACACTCCATAAAACACTCTTACAGTAAAACTCTATGGTTTGTTAAAACCGAGGTGCTAAAACTCAGAGTAACCCCTGAATCTGTGCTGTTTGACATTTCCTGCAAAGTAACACTGGCGTCAGCCTCATTTTTAGTCTCAAAAAGCATTTAACATTTCTCCTACAAGTGTGGTGAGTAGGATGATGCACTACCCAATCCCTCCTTCCCCTGCCCCCACCAAAAAAAAAAAAAAAAAAAAAAAAAAAAAAAAAGCTCACTTTCTAATCCCTGGAATCCATGAGAATGCTACCTGATGTTCAAAGGGCCTTTGCAAGTGGGAATAAAGTACTTTGAAACAGGGAAATGATCCTTAGTTATCTGGGTGGGGCTATAGTTTCAACTGGATTGTTAAAACCAAACAACCCCTTGTAGACAGATTCGGAGGGAAATAGGATGGCAGACAAATGGTCAGTGAGGTGCAAGTTGTTGGTTTGAAGTTGGAGGGGAGGCCCCTGAGTGTGCACACCCCTTACTCTAGACGGCTGAGAAGGTGGGGAGACAGATTTTGTTCTTGAGCCCACAAAAAGGAGCGTACCACTCTGAGATCCTGATGGTAAGCTTATGGATATCTGAATGAGACTTCTGGCATACAGAACTGCTGGGATGATATTTTGTTGCTGAAGCAATCACGTTAGCAAGAATTTGTTACTGCAGCAATAGAAAATGAATGACTAGTTAATAGTTTTAAAAATATATTAAAATGTGAATATTTATGCACATAATAATGCACATGAATCTTGACAAGTGTTTACTTTTCAAGTCCTCATATGCTCATGTGTTTGTTTTCTAGTAGTTCTAATATTTTAATGTTATTATTTGGCAGCTAATTATAACAGATTCTAACAAATAATTGAATATTTTTAAAGTGTTTGTCACGTAAAACAACTCACTGAAATTTCCATCTTACGTGAACAATTTTTTTTTTTGTTACCCAACTTTTATTTTCTTAATGGCAACATGAAAAGAAAATCCAGAAAGCCAAGTCCATGTTTCCCAAGTCATTTCCTTGTTCACTTATTTGACTCCACTCCACAGAATTTTCTTCACCAAGATAAAAAAATAAAAACTTTTTTCCCATCACTGGTATCACTGGTAATTGAAGCCATCAACAATGCAACTGCCTTAAACAACATCTTGCAAAGACATGTTCTCTACATGTTAAAGTGGCGTGAGCAACCATTGAATATTATTTTCTTCCTCCTTAAACCCGATCACATTGATCAGACCAGAAAACCAAAACAAAGCTACCAAAAAATTATATAATCAATAAATGTACAAGAGGAATTGAAGCAGTAAATGAGAGCACTTGTTATTATTTACCATTTGTCTTTTCCTAAATAATGTTGGTCTGTCAGTTAAAAAATTATATAAAGGAAGCACCTAAGATGCATGACTAAGCACTTTGTTTTCATTTATGATCGTTCGTGTTAGTTGAAACAAAATCCATTATCTCCTGCTGTTTGTGTGTGTGTGAGCATGTCTGAACCACTAGCTGGTTTGGGTACTGAAATTTTTTTCACAATAAAAACAAAAATACTGATATGAAACCTGCAATCTGGAAGAATGGTTTCTGAAGCATGAAAGTTAACACATTTTAAAGCATTAAAATGCATGGATATGATGCTTGACTTAATTATTACAGTATTTTAGGTATACATATAATGCATGTTCATAAAAATAATTTGAATATTGATTATAATCACTCTTTAAACAAGCTACATTTTCCTCACTCAAACAGAAGGAAAATGGCTCATACAGCTGCAATGAAAGAAATTTTACTTCAAAAAAGTCTACTTCTCTTCACTTAGAAAAATCATCTACTCCCTCTTTGCCCCTTTCAGAAAGAGAGTTACAGACAATAGGGAGTCATCTGGGGTCAGAGCACACATTAGAGTTCACTGACCTGGAGAATGAATGAAAATAACCTGCCTAACCTGAGCAGGAAAGAGGAACTATGTAACAGCTGTCTGCATTTAAAGTCGGAAAAGGAACCCACCTTTAATTATCCTCCTGTATCTAAATTATATATCCTATATATTACCCCTACACGTTTCTCACCTGCAAGGAGTATTTTTATCACTCCTCCTATCCCTACATATTCTGTGATCTTTGCATATGGTAGATTCTTACACTTCATCCTGTGCTTGGAAAATCATTAAATAGCAAACACTTCTTACCGCAATTTGCAACACCATTTGTTCTGGATCCCATGACTTCATTTCCATATCTGTCCACACACCAGCACTGCCCAACACTCCCGTGGCACTGTGTTGGCTTGTAGTAACCATCTTCATCACACAGTGGGATGTACTGTCCTGTGAAACACACAACACACACACAAACACACGCATATATTTTTATGAGTAAGTCATACTGCCTTTTAAAAAATGAGTGATTGATTGGTTCACTGGCTGATTTTTTTTTTTTTTTTTTTTTGAGTGGGAGAGAGACAGAGTGAGCTTCTATTCTTTTGTTTACTACTCATATACCTGCAATAGCTGGGACGGATCCAGGCAAAGGCTGTGAGCCAGGAATGTAAGCCAGGTCTCCCACGTGGGCAGGAACTCAACTACCAAAGCCATCAATGGCTGCCTCCCACTAGCAGGAAGCTGGAATCAGGAGCGGAGCTGGGAATCAAAGCTAGGTACTGCAATAGGAGGCCAAGTGGCATCTTAGCTACAAGACCAAATGCCCACTCTTGTGCTGCTTTTTGATAAGGTCTCATTATATTATAGTCAAGACATATGGAGATGGAGTGCCCACCATACTCCAGGCTTTGCACAAGAAATACCTGCAGGAGGAGGCCTTTGCTGTCCTGGAGCTAGCATTGCTGAGACAACCTGCTGACATTTCATTAACCCATCTCCTTGTCAAGAAAATCACTACCTTCCTGTTTCTCACTGTGAAAGGGTAGTGCTTCCTGACATACAACTAAATCTTGTGATGGTCATGTTACACCACGCCCTCTGCTTAGCCAGCACGCAGGCCCTTCCCCATCTCATCACTGCCACCTTTTATTTCATTACCCCACATCTCACACTCGTGTCCCAAGCTCTTTCCACATCAAGGTCCTCATTTCTGTGTTTCCATGCAGCTTCATTTCTACCTACACTGTTGATCTCACTGGGAACCCCTCTCCTCAGCTCCCTTCTCCATGGGAAGATGACTGTAATATGATGTCCCCACCAGGAAGCCCTCTCTTAAGCTGGAAAATTTATGATGATGTATCATGCTTTCTCTCTCTCTCTCTCTCTCTCTCTCTCTCTCTCTCTCTTCTCTCTTTTCCCCGCTCCCTCCTTCTCTCTCTCGTTCTCACTCTTGCTCTCCCTCTATTGTCATTGCGTGTCTTATCACAGGTCTGGTAGGTTTTGTCTGGATATATTTAGGTTCTTCATGCTTTTACTTGTTATAACAACAGCTCTTAAGCACACAGTCTAGCAGGGATGATGGGAAAGCTAGACATTTATTTTCATAACTACAGTATCTAACATATTATATGGCATACTGTTGATGAAAAATGTTTAATGAGTGATTTAGAAGTGAAGTCACATTCTTCAGCCAACACTAACACTAGAATATTGGCTCTCAGAGGTTGGAAAGTTTTCTTGTGTTTATCTTATCATTTTTATCTGTGGCCAGAAATATTATAGTTATTTTATGAATGATGGGGCTGGCACTGTGGCACAGCAGGTTAAGCCATTGTCTGCAGTGCCAGCATCCCTAATGGATACTGGTTCAAGTCCCCACTGCTCCGTTTCTGATCAAGTGTCTTGCTAGTGCACGTGGGAGGGCAGCAGGGGATGGCCCACATGTGAGGGCTCCCACACTCAGGTGCGAGACCCAGAGAAGCTCCTGGCTCCTGGCTTCGGCCTCACCCAGCCCTGGCCACTGGAGTGAATCAGCAGATGCATGGTCTCTCTCCTCTGTCTCTGTCTCTTCCCCCTTTCTGTACCTCTGACTTTCAAATCAATCAATCATTTAAAAAAAGGTGAAAGAAAAAATAACTGAATAAATAGATGAAATATGAAGCTCACTTGTTCTCATAAACATATGAGGAGATCATAGTATTACTCTTGCAAAAAACTTCAAAATTCTGGCACAGATGATGCGATTTAATCTAAAACTTAGAATTCATTTGAATGATGTTTGGTAAACAGAGTATCACCAATAATAACCTGAGAACGACGTAAACTTTCTTTTTGTTTGTTGTGTTTTTTTTGACAGGCAGAGTGGACAGTGAGAGAGAGAGACAGAGAGAAAGGTCTTCCTTTACCGTTGGTTCACCCTCCAATGGTTGCCGCGGCCAGCGCACCGCGCTGATCCTATGGCAGGAACCAGGTACTTCTCCTGGTCTCCCATGGGGTGCAGGGCCCAAGCACTTGGGCCATCCTCCACTGCACTCCCTGGCCACAGCAGAGAGCTGGACTGGAAGAGGGGCAACCGGGACAGAATCCGGCGCCCCGGCTGGGACTAGAACCCGGTGTGCCGGCACTGCAAGGCGGAAGATTAGCCTAGTGAGCCGCAGCGCCGGCCAGAGAACATAAACTTTCTGATATCAGCTTCCTAAAACATTATCACAGCGTATTTAACACCAAAATGCTATGATACATAGTATGTCCACGTAATTCCGCCTAGTGGCAGTGCAATATGGAAAGGAGAGAGAACACTGCAAAGAATGTTGCCAGAACTGTAGACATCAACCAATACTGAGCCGTAAACTGGAACACGGGACAACCTTCACTTCAATCCCAATTGGGCCCTAAGTTTTTCTCTTTTATTTGTAGGTTTAAACAACCAAAGTAGATTTTATTTTAGTAAAAAAGAATAACACACTTTCAGTTGAACTGAAAAAGTGTCCCCATTGTATATGACTAAACTTTGATTTGCAGAAAGAAACTATGTAAGAATGTAACATTTACACTGGGATCTGTGGTAGCGCATGTATCTTATAACAGAGTCAAGGGTAAATTGGAGCTTTTATCACAAAAATTCCTTATTATAATGCATTAAGCTTTTTCATTTTGTACAATGTGCATTAAACTAAGAGTTTAAATGGATATGAAATATCTTTTAATCAAAACATACTATATAATATAACACAGATTAATCATATCAAGAAATATGATAAAGTTATGTGCCCCTAAAAAAGTGCATTAAGATTCATGGAAGGAAACATCATACATGTGAAGTCCTGCTTTGATCCTACCATAGAGAGAGAACACCACTGGCAAAACTGGTGAAATCCAAATAAAGTCTGAGGCCTAGTGAGTAGGATTATAGTAAGGTGAATTCTCAGGGGATTTTACAAATGCATGATGATTTTTGTACATGCAAAGTGTTATCTTTAGGGGAAGCTTGGTGAAGAATGTATGAAAATGACATACTATCATTGCAGCCTTTTAAGAATTTAATTTTTCCTAAAGAGTTCATTTAAAAGTTGCATGTGCACAAGCATAAACAATTATCAGGGGTAATAGTATATAATCTACGTATAGCCAGACATGTAAACATGCCAGACTTTGGGTTAAATTTGAAATTATCAGTCTTTCACTTATCATCTCTATCTATCCATCTGATTACATATCTAAAAGTAGATGAAAATACTAATAAAAACATTTAGAATTTGTTTAAATTTGGAAGTATGTACAGAATTGTTTCATCCCACGTATACAAGTACTTGCTTTGACCATCATATATATATTTGCACATTTTTGCTATCAATTCTTAAATTGTTAGCCATGGAAATAAAATTAAAGTTTCTGCTGATGTTTTCACTTTAGCGTTGCTCCAATCATTTTTTTACTTAATAACTTTCAAAATGAACATTATATTAGGGTAATAAAACAGACATAATATCTTTCAATAGGTAAGATAATAAAAGTAAGTTTAATGGCTTGCAGAAAGTTCATAAATTTTGTTGCTGAAATTTAGTACAGTCTATCTTTGTTGGATTAATATTGATTTTATGTTGTTGTTTCCCTGGGGTTATTTATGTAAGCAATAAACCTTTCAGAAGAGTGATCTATTACTCACCTAGGAGCTTCTTTACCCCTTGCCGCTTCTGAATACTGCTCAGCTCCGTCTGGCAGGGTGGGTCTGCAATGACATGGAAACGTTACCTCAAGGATTATGGGTAAGCAAGGAGAGAGGCATTTCTAGGTTACCAAAGGTCAGTGTGTCTTTGCATGCCTGTGGAAGACACAGATTTCCTAATGGTTGGGTTATCCATGAAGCCACATTTAGACAGAAACAGACAGATGATAGATAAATCTGTGTGTCTATTGTCTATCATATCTATCTGTCATCTGTTGTCATCATCATCTATCCATAGAGAGAGAAACCTTCATCATCTGTCTATCTAGAGAGAAAATTTCCTAAGTATTATCACTAGTAGGTTACCTTGGTTTTCCTCAGAATGAATGAATTAGGTAAAATATAGAAATGATACATTATAAAGATTGAAAAATGCTTATTCACTTTCAAAATATCATCCAACTTAGCAATGGGAATCCACCCAATGAGCTGCTGTCCAGGAAACTGTTTCCCCCCTCACTCAAAGTAGCTTGATGATACAGAGAAATAGCTCCGCACTCAAAAGTAATCTGCGAAAAAATGTAATGCTTCTAAGAAAAAGACAAAACAAAACAAAACAAAACTTAATGCTTCTTTCTTTTTATTTTATTTTATTTATTTATTTTTGACAGGCAGAGTGGACAACGAGAGAGAGAGACAGAGAGAGAGAAAGGTCTTCCTTCTGTTGGTTCACCCTCCAATGGCGGCTACGGCTGTCGCTGCGCCGAATCCGAAGCCAGGAGCCAGGTGTGTGGGAAGCAACTCGGACTAGACTGTTACTCGAATTAAGACTTATTTTATGCATCTGCTCTCCCACAATATGGCGCTGGGAGAGGAGGAAACAGCTTCTACACAGCTGCCTCCAGTTCAACCAATAAACAGCAGGACCTGCTCCTGATTGGAGGAGAGCAGCGTACTCGGCGTGTGGGTAGCAGAGTTGGGATTGGCGGAAGAGGACTATAAAGGAGGAGAGAGACAACATGCACCAGGAACATCTATCTGAAGGAACACCTGAGCAGCCCCCGAGAGAGCCGGCAGCTCCCCTGCGGAAGTGGGGAAAGTGGCAGGGGGAACCGCCCTTCCACGGAGGTGGAAGGGTCGGTAGTCAACCCGGGAAGAACCAGCAGCAAACCCGGGAAGGGCCGAGCAGACAAAAGAACAGCGCAGGGTCCTGTGTTGTTCCTCCGTGAAGAGGGGGAGCGACACAGGTGCTTCCTCCTGGTCTCCCATGCGGGTGCAGGGCCCAAGCACCTGGACCATCCTCCACTGCCTTCCCAGGCCACAGCAGAGCGCTGGACTGGAAGAGGAGCAACCAGGACAGAATCTGGCACCCCGACCGGGACTAGAACCCCGTGTGCCGGAGGATTAGCCTATTGAGCCGCAGCGCCGGCCAATGCTTCTTTCAAATGATATCAGAGATCCTATTACAAATATAGTGTCTATAAAGACCTTGGTGACCAACAGGGCAGATCTGAGCTGAAATGTCAAATTATTACTACGAAAGCAGCTTTATATTAGTTGATATGGGCTAGTTACTGCACAGTGGCGGCATTATTTCTTATATTTCACCACTTGAACATCCAGGTAAATTTATCTCTAACTTTTGATTAGAACCTCAATGAATAACCATAGTGTCTAGTACCTCCAGCTGGGTTTAAGGGAACATTTTTAAGATTTGAGGAGAAACCATGGCTAATTAGGTTGTTCAATCACATACACAATATTTGACTTTGAACTAGATCCTCGTTATTTATAGACCATCACTGTAATTCTGCTCATTAATCCAGATGAAAGGTTAGTAACCCAACAAAATGCTTGAAGATTTTAACACAATAGGTCTGTGGATGTCCAGGTTATGGAACAGGAACAGATTGATATCACAAGGTTTATAGTCCCTACTATCACACAATGTTCTAAGTTTACGGAAAATCCTGATTTATGTACTTACGATTGTATGAATATCATAAATTAGTAAGGTGTGATATTTAATTTAGTCACTGGAATTCATAAAATAATATCAAGGGGAAAATGAAAAAAATGTGGGTTAATCTTCAAGATGTTGTTTTTGAAAATATTTTTCATTGTTCAGTATTCTGGATCGATTGGCACACATTTCTACACTGGGAACTTCCACACACTATCTATATTAGAAATCAGTCATTTTCAATGCAACAAGAACAATGCAATTTTACTTGCATGTGTGATTTTTCAGCAGAATAGAGTGTCAGGGGAAAATCAAGGAGCATCTGTATATTTGCAATAGTTATACAAATATGAAAATATTTTCCAACGTTTGCAAGTAGTAATTTATAAGGGATCTATTTGTATCAGGTGTCAAAGTAAATGAACAATTCAGAGTGAAAACTGAAAAGAAAGTGGGTTTTATGGAGCTTTGTGAATGAATCTTGAAACCGGCAGAACACAGCTACACAGGCTGTGCAACTCCCAAGGACAGCAGAATCCGACTGCAATGTGAATAAGGTCCTGGGTTTTACAATAGGGCAGCCTCTGACTTCCTTCTAAATCAGTCACTGCTCTGCCCATTCTTTTCAGTGTTTTGTTAGTTGCAGCTCCTGTCACAGAGTGGGTCTACTTGCAAAACTTTACTGAATTTATTTTGTTCATAGGGATTTCAAATATTCACAACACCAACTGCTCACGTGTCTTCCATTTGACAGGAAGCACTTTGATAAGTAATACATTAAGTCTTCAGAACACAGGCTCTGATACGCCCTCCTGCAGACTAAATGTGTAAACTCTGAAGATGTCATCCATTTTCACTGCATTCCTGGAAAACATTCTGAACAAACTGTCGACACTGCCCGTAAACAGCACTTCCCCTCACGTTGCACAGTGAGGCTTCCGCATCGTTACCTCGCCAATCCTGGCAGTGGAATTAAAATTACCTTGAACCAGACACCAGGGCCCCTTGGGTGAGATCCCAGCTGATCCTGCACGTGCACTGCCATGTGAAGCTATCTGAGATAATAAGCTTCCGTCTGTAGCCATATAAAGGGAACAGCAATGCTTTCGCAGGGCCATCTGACACATAAATACTGGAGCTGAATAAATCATAGTTTTCTTGTTTTTTCTAAATGATAATTTTCTTGTTCTTTGATACCTTACACAACAGGATTTAAATGAAATAGGACCTCATAATTGGTTTACTCTTTTACTAGAGACTTAGACATACTTTATATGGAATTTAGTTATTAACAATGAAGATAACCAAACTTCCCACATCAGTGTTGACCCTACTTATTCTTTCAGGATTACGAAGACTAAAGAGTTCTACCAATTGCTGCTGTGTTCATTGTCTCTGTTTAACTGCCATGATTTCAGAAAACTAGCTACAGAAACATGTTTTAATGTATTTTTTATGTTGGAATACTACAAGTATTTCACTTGCTCAAAATTGTACCGTTTCAGCATCATTTATCAATTTTCCCAATTAACCTTGGTTTTATATTTTTGGAAATTAAAAAAAAGATTCCAGCCATATATACCTATAGTCTTGATTGCAGTCCTAAGTCAATGTGCATGAGTGTGTATATGGTTCTAATCATAATGAAGTTAAGAAGGGCAGGAAAATAGCTTATTTTATAAGATAAATCATTTAAAATATTTTTAAATTTATAATTATTTTCTCATGAAATCACTAACAATTAAAATAATGCATAAAAGCATAGTAGTGTCATATTCCTACTCTGCTCAGTTATACTGGCAACGCTCTCTAGGATATAAAAGTAAAAAAAAAAGTTTGATTAAGAGTATAGCCAAGCTCTCCTAAGCTCTAACAAAGTTGGGTAAACTTTTTTACCTGCTCAGTAATATTTATGCATTTTTTCTACCTTTCACTGAGGCAGGCATTTGGCATGGTGGTTAAGGTACCATTTCAGATGTCTGCCCCCCATATCAACGCTTCTGGATTCAAGAAGTCAGGCCTTCTGACTCCAGCTTCCTGCTAGTGCACACCCTAGTGGCAGCAGGTGGTGGCCCAAGTGCCAGCTCCTGCAGTGTTGTGGGCTCTTGGAAGTCGAATCAGTAGATGGAAGATCTCTCTGTGTGTCTCTGTCTCTCTGTCTCTCTCTCTTTCTCTACCTCTCTCTCTCTGCCTTTCAAATAAATGACTATAAAAATATTTTAGTTTTCTATTTTGTAAGTATTTTTCATACCCATGCTCCCTACCCCCACTCCTCAGCTGAATCCCAGGGAATGCCTGGCAGAAATTTAAAAAAATTAATAATTTATGTTCTATCATGCATTAAATGATCTCAAAGGATAAATCTTCATATGACCATGAACATTGTAACAATTTGGAAGAATGTGGCTTCGGACATGAAGTACGTGTAGAAAAATTTTGCTTTGGGGAATGTTTATTAATTCTAAAAATATAGCTGCAAAATTCAAGAATGTTCTGAGATGAAAGTATTTGTTTCTGTAGATGAAAGGTTCAGTTTTCAGAATAGTTTTAACTGTTCATGTACAAACACTGAAAACATGCAATGATAGCATTCACAAAAATTATCATGTGACATAATAAGAGATTGCCTGAGTACCAGTCTTTCTATGGGAATTTACTTTAATTGAATACTCTCTATTATTTAAGTTATTTACATGCATATTTTTCATTAATATCAGAGTATATTTTAGAAATGCTCAATTATCTAGACAGCATGTATTAGTAAAGTCAATAATGTGTGCTTGTGTTTTTATATGTGTGTGACTTAAAATATTTTAATACAGAAAATCTATTTAACTTTGTTTAAACTGGTTTTTGAATAGTTAAGCTACTATACTTAGCTAACTCTGATGTTGACTCCCCACTATCAATTCATGGATAATCATTTCATCCCTAACTGATAAACTAGTACTAAATGTGAGAAAGTAACTGCCCTGTAAAATGTATTATATTGCCATAGGAAATACAGTAGTGGGGCCTGTGTTTTCACACGGTGGGGTAAGTCGCCGCTTGCAATGTCAGGGTTCCCTCTCAGAGAACCATGTTTCCATTCCAACTCCCT